TGAAGAAACTGAAAAAATATTTAGGGCCTTTATGTGTTTTTTTAAAGAATATGAGAATCTTGAGGATCCTAAATGTGCTTTTTTAAAGAATATGAAAAAATCTGGGGGTCCTTGGTGTATTTTTCTTTCAAGAATGTAAAGAAACCTTGGGGGTGTGTGCTGAAATATTTTAAAGAATCTCAAGGATCCTAATGTGAGAATATGGAAAAATCTTTGGGAACCTTTTTTAAAGAATGTGAAAAAATCTTGAGGCTTCTTCTAATTTTATTTTTGAAAGAACTTGAAAGAATGTCTTGGTGTCTTTGTTTAAAGAATATGAGACTCTTGACACTCCAAGTGTTTTTTTTTTTAAAGAATGTGCGAAAATCTTAGGGAATCTTGTTTATTTTTAAGAATATGAGAATCTTGGCGACCCCAAATGTTTTTTTCTTAAATGTCCGAAAATCTTAGGGTCCCTAGTGTCTTTTCCAAGAAATTGAAAAAATTTTAAAGGAATTCGAAAGAATCTTAGGAAATTTTAGTGTCTTTTTTTAAAGAATATGGGAATCTTGAGGACCCCTAATGTTTTTTTTTTTCGAATGTGCGAAAATCTTGGGATCTCTAGTGTCTTTTTTAAGAAACTGACAAAATCTTTAGGACCTGTATGTGATTTTTTAAAGAACATGATAATCTTGAGGACCCTAAATGTCCTTTTTTACAGAATGTGAGAAAATATTGGGATCCCTAGTGTATTTTTCTTTAAGGAATGTAAAGGAACCCTGGAGGCCCCTGCTGAAATATTTAAAGAATCTCAGGGGTCCTAATGTAAGGATACTAAAGAATCTTTGGGACCCCTAGTTTCTTTTTTAAAGGATGTGAAAAAACTTTGAGGCTTCTTGCTATTTAATTTTTTAAAGAATTTGAAAGAATGTTAAAAGATCTTGGTGTCTTTGTTTAAAGAATATGAGAATCTTGAGGACCTCAAATGTCCTTTTTTAAAGAATTTGAGAAAATCTTAGTGCTCCTTGTGTCTTTTTCTTTAAAGAATGTAAAGGAACCTTGGAGACCTCTGCTGAATTAAGATTTTAAAGAATTTCAGGGATCCTAATGTAAGAATATGGAAGAATATTTGGGACCCTTAGGATCTTTTCCTAAGAATATGGAAAAATTTAGAATCCATAGTATCTTTTTTCAAGAAATGTGAGAAAATCTTGGGGTCTCTTCTTCTTTGTTTTTGAAAGCATTTTAAAGAATCCTAGAGGAACCAAGTGCCTTTTTTAAAGAATGTACAAGAATCTTCGGGCTCTGTTGTTTTGTTTTTTAAATAATTTGAAAGAATCTTAGGAGATCTTGATATCTTTTTTTAAAAGAATATGAGAAAATCTTGGGGCTTCTAGTGTCTTTTTTAAGAACGTAAAACAATCTTCGAGACCCTTGTTTTTTGTCAAAAAAATTTAAAAAAATCTTGAGGACCCTTTGTGTTTTATTTTTAAAGGACTTTGAAGGAATCTCAGAAACCCTAGCTTATATCTTCAGGGACCTTGCGCTTTTTTGAACGAATTTGAAAAGATTTGAGAACCCTGATGTTATTTTAGGAGTTTGAAAGAATCTTGAAAGTCCCTAGTATCTTTTTCTTTAAAGAGTTTAAAAGAATCTTGAAAACTGTTTGTGTAGTGTTTTAAAAAAAAAATTGAAAAATCTTGGGGCCCTTCTGTGTTTTTCTTGAAAGAGTGGGGGAATCTTGGAAACCCGTAGTAGATTTTTTAAGAATCATTTTGGAGCATCAATGTGTTTTATTTTTGAAGAATTTTTAAACTTTTGAAAAATCAGGGGTCCTAGCACCATTTTAAATTCGGGTTAATCTTGGAGATCTTTAGTGAAATATTTTTGAAAAGAAGTCTCAAGGATCCCTGACATATATATATATATATATATATTTTTGAAGAGTAAAAAAATCTCATGAACCTCTCGTATTTCTTTTTAAACATTTGAAAACATCTTCGAATGCGTTGTATTAGTTTTAAAGAATCTTGGGGTTATGAAAATAAAAAATCTGCAGAAATCTTGGTGCTGAACTTTGTTCCATCGCCTCACGATTCGCATTTCCCGCTGCACGAACCTCAAAGGATGCCGTTCGATAATCGCACCCGTATTTCACAGGGCCGGGCCAAAAATAGCGCCCAAAGCGTCGCTACGCTGCCGACGTCACGCGTCCGCAACCAGCTGTTCGCTAACTATTTCAATAAAACTCTAACTAGCGGCGATTTTTTATTGCTTGTCTATTTTAATAATGGCTAATGCGCATCGATTTAATTATAGAGTGTCGAAAGTACGAAGCGCCGCATGGATTTCCAATTTTTTCACATACATTTATTCAAAATAGACTCAAGGTTTCCCCGCCGCGTTGTGTTTTAAAGAATAAACATTTTTCGCTTTTTTAAGCTGGAGATATAAATAAACAAATGCAACCACTTTTCGGCTGGATTTAGTCCGACATTCGCTTAAATGATGTGAATGTTTAAGAGCCGTATTTTTCGATTCTGTATTAACAGTGAATACACGACGCTTGCCAAATATTCCCTTGTATTTTTAACTATTCGATGTAAATGTGTTTGTTTGTGGTAGCAGTTTCCATTTGGGCCATTAGGTGTACATACGAAATTAATGAAGTCACTGATGTTCTGGCAATTAAACGAGAAATATAGGGCTTGTGGGGACAGAAAGGTGATAATAGATTTTGGTTCCGCGAGTTAAACTCATAAATTAGTTTTTCGATTTTAGAAAATGAGTCATACGTGGGGGGAGTGTCAATTTTCACTTGTTATTATTATTTTTTTTAAGTACTTAAGCTATATTGTCTGCTTGTTTCTTTGAACCAAGAGCAATAACAAATTTATTATGAAATTAAATTAAGTCATTCAAAGATTTAATAGGTATTTAAAAAAAAAACACAAGTTATTTATAATGTAAACTTGGTGGCAGACCTTCGCCAATCGTTGCTCTTTGAAGTCCTGTAAGGACAAGGTTAGAAAGTGACTTATTTATCGACTAAATAAAAATCGATAAATTGTGGAATTTTATTTTGAAAATAATGTCATTCAATTTTTCAAATTCTATATCTACATAGTTCGATTGTACAATATTGGGAAATAAAACCGCAACGAAAAATAAAAAAGACCCAAGACAGATGTTGTCACATTTTTAATAAAACAAAATAAATATCGAGTCTCGAGATTCGTTGTATTTTTAGAACAGCAACATTATGTTCACCTATGTAATCATTTTTTATTATGACGGCTAATAATATATCATTAGCAGCTGTTCTTAAACAATAAATTTGACTGATAGAGTTAATGCCTCCATCATTCATGTATAATACAGGCTGGCCGTAACTCTAACATACAGAGTATATTTTATAAATTGTCATTTAGTGCAATTTTCGCCCTTAAGTACTCTTTCATAAGGGTCACATCTACGTAATTTAGCAATAAAATGGTATCATTTTGATTAAAATTATTAAATTGTTATGTTTAAAGATTTATAGTTGATTAGTTTGATATTACATATTGCATCTCGACAAAAAATTAGAGCAAGGAAGTCTAGACTGCATAATTTTCAGTCGAACGAGGTCGGTCCTGAGTCTGACATGCTGAATCGATCCTACGTCGCGATGACGTCATCAGCACTGCGTCACTTTAAGCCAAGATACAAACTGTAAAACCGAGAAAGCTGCAATTTTCGCTAAAATTTTTGCAATGTTGCTTAAATTTTCAATTATTCATGGTTTCGTGCGAATAATTCTACTTTTACTCAAAAAATGCACAATTTTAACCCGCAAGTTGCGTAAGACGCGGTAATGGAGGCATTGTTTCTACATTAAAGCAGCTGAGTAATGAACGGCTTCCTGAGGAAATAATAAGTTTCTAAAATGCAAATAAACCCACATGTTTTGCTTTTCTAATTAATGAAATATTAGCAACGGCGGTCATAAATTAAGTCGCAAAAGCAAAAAGATTGCGTGCAAGAGGCTGAAAATCGTCGTTTGTAAACTTTTCGAGCAAATCTGCAATTTCCACGATTTTTCGGTTCCTAGTACATAAAGATGTAGCATCAAACGAATTCTTGGCACTGTTATTCAAACGTAGTAACAATGACAGCATTATTAACACAAATAAATTGAAAAACTTGACGCAAAAATTCTGTTTAATAACACCCACCCCGCCTTTTGTTTACATTTTTTGTCTGTCAAATGTAAAATTTGGACATTTCCCGCCCAAAATGGCTAAATTTTTTGCCGCACGTACATAGTATTGAGCTTTGTGTGCTTGAATTTTCGTAACCAAGCCACAAACAAGTTATTTTTCTGACGTTGCCACTAATTCTACAGGTATGTGTAAACAACAAAGGTCCGGAAGTCGTTCCCTGGTGCACTGGCGTCGCTCCGGTTGCAGCCAGTATTTTTGCGACCGCCTCGAGATGAATGAGTCCGTAAATTTCATGGCTCTTTAAATTTCACCTGGAAGTCGGTATTTTACAAACTCGGTGGGCGTAACCCTAATGGGCACAGTCAGATAAATGCGCCCATATTTCACAGTCCGCGAAAATAATTTTCCGCGCGTTCCACTTGCAGCATAAAAATATTATTAAGCGTAAAAGCCCGTCCATTTCCTTCGAATAATAAATACCCGTTAAACAAACACGTTTTATCTATTATGTCCGGCGTATTTTTAGCCGGGTTTTATCTTTTGGCACTGGCCGCCGGTTCGAGCTTTGGGCCAATCGGCGATTAATCGGCGGCGGCGACGCCGCCACCCCCGAAAAAACCCATCGGCGCCCGGACGGCCAAAAATACCCCGCCGAGTTTGGCGCCACATTTGCATTGTCCAGCGGGTTAAATTTGGACGAAAAGGGCTATTTTGGCCGAATTCGTCAGTGGGAAAGTGAGTAACTGGGGTTCGGTGGATGGCACGTGGCCTGGGTGACACCTACTTCGGTTACATGCGTTACATAAACCGACTTACTTCTTCGATTTTGAAGCTGGTCCGGATGACCTTCCGCCGGACCTCCGTCTCGTAGGTTTCCTCGACCGTTTCGGCCATGTTTGGGGCGAATGTCACAGTTTACAACAGGAATCCTCACTCAAAGTCACCCGAACTATTCGCCGTCGAAACGCGTGCAAGACTGGCGCGCCGGGCTAAAATTAATTTTCTTGACTGAGCGGAAGTACCATGTCCTACTACTGTGTAGTCGGCGGCGTGCATGTTGGGCGGAAAGCGGCGGATCCATTCACCAGATGGGTTTGGGCAAAATGTGCGAGTTTGGACCCAGGGTGGACAAAGCACCTGTTAAAAAAATCGGAGTGGAAATTAGTGTTCAGTTAACGGAACTACACTTATCTGTGTGAACGCAGGATTATAATTTTTGATTAGTTGTGAAAAATTAAATTCAAACCTAAAACAACTGGAATAATATTTAGGTTCGATTTAATTTCTGCTGGGAATCCCCATTCATGTGATGTAACTTTTTTGTGACTACAATTTACAATATTTACAGGTTATACCAAAGTTTTCGAAATATGTGCATTTTTATGAAGAAAAAAATGTGATATTTAAAAATGCAACATTTCAAGTCATCTTTTCTTTTCTGTTTTCCCAATTTTTAATAACAAATCTGTAAAATTTCACTTGTATATTTGAAAAATTGCGTACGGTTTATACGTAAATTTATTTAATCCCCTTATGATAAAAACAGGCAGACAAATTTTCCTTAATTTTTTTTTATTAAAAAGTGCAAAAATACAAAAAATAATCCAAAAATTTCGATTTTTCTACTTCTTGATTTCTAGATTTTTCGACCTTTTGATTTTGTATTTCTAGATTTTCAAATTTTAGATTTTCCAGTTTTTCAATTTTTGGATGTTTCGATTTTTCGATTCTTCAATTTTTCGATTTTTAAATTTTTGGATTTTTGAATTTTTCAATTTTTGACGTTTCTAAATTTTAGATTTTTCGGCTTCTCAATTCCTTTAATAATCGATTTTTGGTTTTTCGAATTATTTATTTCTCAATTTCTCGATTTTACAGTTTTTCAATCCCAACTTTTTTCGATTTTTGCGGTTTTAAATTTCGCAACTTTTCGATTTTTTAAATTTTTGATTTTCCGACTTCTCGATTTCTCAAGTTTTGGGATTTTTTGATTTCATTTTTCAATTTTTCGACTTCATCTTTCGATTTTTCGATTGCTTAATTTCCTGATTTTTCGATTTTTAAGATTTTTAATTTTTGGCTTTTCCACTTTTTCGATTTTTTAATAAATTTCCAATTTTTCAATTATTAATTTTCGATTTTGGGCTATTTCGATTTCTCAATTTTCCGATTTTTCAACATCTCGACTTTTCGATTTCTCGATGTTTCAGTTTTTCAATGTTTCGAAGTTTCCATTTTCGGTTTTTCCATTTTCCGACTTTTTGGCTTGTCGATTTTCCAATCATTCGATGTATCTATTTTTTAATTTTTCGATTTCCCAATTTTTCGTCGTTGCTGGTTTGGAATTTTTCAGTTTATCGATTATTCCATTTTCGGATTTTTCAATTTTTTAAATTTTTGAATTTTCGACTTTCCGGCTTTTCGATTTTTGAATTTTTTGATCTTTAATTCTAAAACTTTCAATTTTTTAATTTGTCGATTTTTTGGATGCTTCGATTTTTCTGTTTTTCGATTCTTCAAGTTTTCGATATTTTAATTTTTCAATTTTTCAGTTCTTGGATATTTCTACTTTTTAATTTTATTCGATTTCTTGTCATCTCGGTTTTTTCGACTTTTCGAATTTTACATTTCTCAATTTTTCAAGTTTAGATTTTCAAATTCTTCGATTTTTGGTGTTTAAAATTTTTGATTTTTCGATTAATCAATTTTTCTATTTTAAAATTTTTCGATTGCTCGATTTTTCAGTTCTTCGATATTTCAAGTTTTCAGTTTTTAGGATTTTTAGATTTTAGATTTTTCAATTTGTCTAATTTCCTGATTTTTCAATTTTTCGATTTTTAAAATTTTTGATTTTTTGATTTTTGAGTTTTTCTGGTTTTCGAAGTTTTGACTTGTCGGTTTTTTGATTTTTTCATTAAAAAATGGCCTTTTTTGGCTACGTAAGTTCCGGTATTTTTTTTATTTTTACTACTTTTTTTCCAAAAATTCGTCAAAATACTCCAAATGTCTTTGAATTAATTCCAAAATCATTGTTTTGTATATGAAGTTAGAAAAAGATTCTAGATTAGTGTATTTAATTCGTGCTTTAAAAATTCTACGATTTTCAAAAGTACAAAATTTTCCAAAAATTTCAAGTCAAAATTTCGTAAAACAAAGCAACAATTTGATTTTTCTTGAATTTTTTTTCCAGTAAGGTTCGATCACTATTTAATTCAGCTTGTAGGGAAATTTTGGATTTTAAATATTTTTATTCAAAATAAGCCTCGATAATTTCCAAACATTACAATATTTTGTAAAAATAGCAATAGTTTTTGACGAAATTCTACAAAAATAGCTTCCCAAAGCTTCAAAACTGGTAGCAGGAAGACTTATTTTGCCACTTTTTTTTCGAAATTCGTCAAAATGTTTCACATGTTTTTGAATAAATTCGAAAATTAATCAACTATTTATTATTGTTTTATAGATAAACTTTGAAAGAGATTCGAGATTGGTGTATTTAACTTGCTGTTTAAGACAAACTCGATATTTTCAAAAGTACAAAATTTTCCAAAAATTTCAAGCCAAAATTTCATAACTCCTAAATCGACTATTTGATTCTTCATAAAAATTTTTGGTTTTGCAAAAATAGTAACTGTTTATTAACGTAATTCTACAAAAATCACTTCCCGAAGCCTCAAAACTCGTAGTAGGAAGTTTAGACTTTTTTTTTCAAAATTCGTCAAAATTTTCCATATATTTTTGAATAAATTCGAATATGAATCGATTATTTATTACTATTTTGTAAAAAAAGTTAGAAAGAGATTCGAGTTTAGTTTATGTATTTAATTTGTGGGTTGAGACAAGCTAGGTGATTTTCAAAAATACAAAATTTTCCAAAAATTTTTAGTCAAAATTTCGTAAAACCTAAAGCGGCAATTTGATTTTTCATTAAAATGTTTTCTTTTTTTTTGCTGTGTAAGCTCCAGTAGGTTTCTATCACTATATAATTCAGACTGTAGGAAAATTTTTGATTTTAGATATTTTTATTTAAATAAAACTCGATAATTTTCAAATATTACAATATTTTGCAAAAATAGTAATTGATTATTAAAGTAATTCTACAAAAATAACTTCCCAAAGCCTCAAAACTCGTAGCAATAAGACTTATTTTGTCTACTTTTTTTTTTCAAAATTCGTCAAAATGTTCCACATACTTTTGAATAAATTCGAAAATGAATCAACTATTTATTATTCTTTTATAGATACAGTTAGAAAGAGATTCGAGAATAATTCGTTTATTTGATTTGTGTTTAATTTTCAAAAGTACAAAATTTTCCAAAAATTTCAAGTCAAAATTTCGTAAAACAAAAAGCATAATTTTATTTTGTCATTAAAAATTTTCCTTTTTTCGGTTGTGTACGCTACAGTAGGGTCATATCGCCATATTGTTAAACTTGTAGAAAAATTTTACACTTTAGACTTTTTCTGTTTAAATAAATGTCGAAAATTTTCAAAAATTACAATATTTTGTAAAACTAGCAATAGTTAATGAACTAAATTCCACAAAAACAACTTTCAAAGGCTTTAAAACAGCTAGTAGAAAAAAAATTTTCTCTATTTTTTTTTTCGAAATTCGTCAAAATGTTTCACAAGTTTTTGAATAAATTCGAAGATGAATGGACTATTTATTATTGTTTTATAGATAAAGTTAGAAAGAGATTCGTGATTCGTGTATTTAATTTGTGGTTTAAGATAAACTAGATGATTTTCAAGAGTGGAAAATTTTCCAAAAATTTTAAGTCGAAATTTCGTAAAACATAAAGTGACAATTTGATTTTTCGTTAAAAATGTTACTTTTTTTTGCTGTGTAAGCTCCAGTAGGTTTCTATCACTATATAATTCAGACTGTACGAAAATTTTTGATTTTAGATATTTTTATTTAAACAAAACTCGATAATTTTCAAATATTACAATATTTTGCAAAAATAGTAATTGTTTATTAAAGTAATTCTACAAAAATAACTTCCCAAAGCCTCAAAACTCGTAGCAATAAGACTTATTTTGTCTACTTTTTTTTTTCAAAATTCGTCAAAATGTTCCACATATTTTTGAATAAATTCGAAAATGAATCAACTATTTATTACTCTTTTATAGATACAGTTAGACAGAGTTTCGAGAATAATTCGTGTATTTAATTTGTGTTTAATTTTCAAAAGTACAAAATTTTCCAAAAATTTCAAATCAAAATTTCCTAAAACAAAAAGCCTAATTTTATTTTTTCATTAAAAATTTTCCTTTTTTCGGTTGTGTAAGCTACAGTAGGGTCATATATTATTAAACTTGTAGAAAAATTTTAGACTTTAAATTTTTTCTGTTTAAATAAATGTCGAAGATTTTAAAAAAATTACAATATTTTGTAAAACTAGCAGTAGCTAATGAACTAAATTCTACAAAAACAACTTTCAAAGGCTTTAAAACAGCTAGTAGAAAAACTAATTTTCTATACTTTTTTTTCGAAATTCGTCAAAATGTTTCACATGTGTTTGAATAAATTCGAATATGAATGGACTATTTGTTATTGTTTTATAGATAAAGTTAGAAAGAGATTCGTAATTCGTGTATTTAATTTGTGGTTTAAGATAAACTAGATGATTTTCAAAAGTAGAAAATTTTACAAAAATTTTAAGTCCAAATTTCGTAAAACATAAAGTGACAATTTGATTTTTCGTAAAAAATGTTACTTTTTTTTTGCTGTGTAAGCTCCAATAGGTTTCTATCACTATATAATTCAGACTGTAGGAAAATTTTTGATTTTAGATATGTTTGTTTAAATAAAACTCGATAATTTTCAAATATTACAATATTTTGCAAAAATAGTAATTGTTTATTAAAGTAATTCTACAAAAATAACTTCCCAAAGCCTCAAAACTCGTAGCAATAAGACTTATTTTGTCTACTTTTTTTTTAGAAATTCGTCAAAATGTTCCACATATTTTGGAATAAATT